AGCTGGCAGAGGAGGAGAACCAGCAGTTCTTGCTCACAGGGCGTCGGCGTTGTGCGTGGGGCGGAGTGCGCTGGCGCACAGTGCGAGTCGTGCTCCTGTTCGTTTGTTCTCTCTCTCTGCCTCCTTCTGAGTTCACATACGTCCTCGTGGTAAGAACATGACGTCAGAAATGATCTTTCCCTTTTTCTCCCTTTGGTTTCATTTTAAACACTTAGGATTTTGTCAAAGTGAAAAAAAATTAGCCCTTTGCCTTTTGGTACCGTGGCTTCCAGTCGCCGGAATAGCTGTGAAGGTGGTGGGAGTCACGTGTCAAGTGCCCCGTTTTTGCAACAGTGTGTTTTTCATCTTTCAATGATTTTTCATCAACTCAGTCCGCAGGGGGTGCCAAGCCATGGATTTTTCCTGGCGTTGGTCTCTTCTTCAGTGGGTCCCTTCCTTCATCCATTCGCTTACTGATTTACTTGATGGTCACTATCCACATTCATCTGGACCCACCTCCCCTGTGGGGACCCTGTGCCCAGGACCGCGTCCCCACGCAGCCGCTTCTCACGCAGCTGCGGCCAGGCGTCCCGTCCTGCGTGGCCTTCACGTCCCAGAACCACGAGCCACCACCTCTGCTGGGCCCAACCGCCCTGCGGTCCACGGCAGCACTGTTTTATGCAACTAATAAACAGTGCGAGGTTCCTCGTTCAGCGTTCTCTGCGCCTGTGTGGGATGTGTCTTTGACTTCAGGGTTTATTTTGAGAACCAAATTAATTTCATTCATGGTACCATTTAATGCTCTGGACAAATATTATACTGAACAAATAGTTTGGCAGTTGGAATCGAAATGTGAATTAGACAGACAGCAGGGACAATCCCTCAACTTAAATAGCAGGACGAGCATCGTTACAGCCCCAGCTTCCCCAGAAGCTACTTCAATCTGATGCATGGTCCCCCGTGCCAGCGGGAGCTGCGGAGCCAGCTGTCTAAAGCAGGAGGCCTTGCTCCTGTGCGGGGCGGCCCGCTTCGCGCATGCGGCCCGCGGTGGACATGGGATGCACAGTTGGCCCTTGCATGGTGGCCTGGCCACCGAGGAGGACTTGCCCAAGGAAACACAGGAAACGTGGGGACAGGGCGCCAGGGCACTGAGAGCCCAGCACGGTGCTCGGTCCCTTACGTGGGGGGTCCCACCGAACCCTCGCGTTCCTCCCTGGGTTACGTGCCGCGGTGCCCACAGCCCACACACGGAGACACAGGGCACAGAATGAAGGGTCGGCCTGGATTCATAAACAAGAAGTGCTGGAGGGGGACTCGCCCAGCGGAGAGCCCGCAGGTGACCGGGCGGCGGACCCGGCTTGGCTCTCGGCTGCTCTCTGTAGGTGGCTCCGGGCCCACAGGGGACTTCAGTAGCCTTAGGGTGGCCTCCAAACACCACCAGCCATAAACGCAGTGAGCGTTATTACAGAAATGGGCCGCAAGCAAAACATTGCACAGGATCACTAACTAAGTGTTCTTGTTATACACTCAGTGTTACTCACTGACAAAAGGTGGCCTTCATACCACATGGCTGAAGTGTGCTGCTACACTCCCGTGTCCAGGTCGTGCTCCCTCGGGCCCCTGTGCCTCTTCCATGTCCTGGTGCCTGAGTCCGCATGTCACCAGGGCACGGCAGCGCCCCGCCGTCTCTTCTGGCTGGACAGAGAGGCCAAGGTTAACGACTCAGTTGTCACAGGCAGATTACTTAATGTGAAATCAGCTAAAAAGACAACATAGTTTTTTACCTTCAGTAATCGCGGTGGGATGAATAAGGTGAAATCATTTACTGATAATTCTGCATTGTATTATTTTCTACTATTCATGTTGGAAGTAGTTTAGAAAAATGAGGATCAAAATATCTATAAAATTTGCCAATACTATTTTTGCAGTAGAGTTAAAATACATGTGTTATTTACCTATACTGATTACACTATAAAATAATACATAAAATTGTAAATTTAAAAATGCATAGATTTACAAACAAATTGATAAATATAAGTTCACAAATAAAACTGATAAAAATAAAATTGATTCTAACTGGAAGTCATGAGTTTATAAAATGATGATAGAAGGATGATTACCTTCCAGTATGCTTGCGAGAGTTACTTAGCGGACTGCCTGCCACGCCCTAAGTGCTCAGTAATGTTCGCGATTATAATTGCAGTGTTATTTTGGTGCCCGATGTAGTTATTCACCAGCAGCTTTTCCATAGAATCGCAGCCCCACAGGTCGTGCTGACTGACATAAATACCCAGCGGGGCCTGTTGACTGCTCACACTGCCACCAGAATCCAGTGTCATCTCACATGGAACAGTGAACGAGAAGGTCACTGCTTTTCCAAATGCGCTCATTCCATGAAGCAAGCGCTTTGAAAACAGATGTTTGCAAGTACTTTCATTGTTGTGTGGCTTTCTCCCTGAAATTTATGTCACATGTACAAATGAACACGTACCTTTAAAAAGACTGAGCAGAAATTTTGTAATAATTTTCCTGAGGTTTATTAATATACAGTAAGCTACACATGTTCCTAGAGTGTACAGTCAGACAAGGGTGTAGACGCACCCTCTCCACCGCGTGAGGCCATCACCACCGTCAGGATGACGGGTGTATCTGTCACTCCCCAGTTTCCTTCTGCCCCTCTGTGATTCCACCCTCGTAACCCTGTCATCGTCATCCTCCCCGGTCTGAGGAGAACACCAGCCTGCTTTCTGTCACTGTAAACTGCTTTGCATTTTCTAGAATTATTCCATATAAGTGGAATCATAAAATCACTATTCCTTTCTCTCCAGCTCCTTTCGCTCAGCATAATTATTTTGAGGTTCATCCATGGCATCGCACGTATAAATAGTTCACCCCTTTTTCACTGAGCAGTGTGCCATTGTATGCGTTTGCCGTGATCTGTTTCGTCACCTGCTGATGCACATTCGAGTTACTTTTGGCTCCTAACGAAGCCGCAGTGAGCCAGGTGCACAGGTCCTCGTGTGCACATGCGCTTTCGTGTCCCCGGGTGAATGCGGAGCTGCGGGAGGCTGTCATGGTCGGGAGTGTTTGCCTGTTCTGGGAGCCTTCAGATGGCTCTGCAAGCTGGCCGTGCCCTGCTACGTCCCCGGCCTCACGTGTGTGTTCTGGTCGCTCCACATCTGCCATCTCCGTGTCTTCTCTGGTGAAGCGTCCTCGCGAATCGTTTGCCCACTTTTTTTGTTTGCGATTATTTGCTTTCCTATCATTGAGTTTCGATAGTTCTCCATGTGCTCTAGGCTGCTTGCAGATACTGGCTCCCGGCGTTTGGCTCGTCTGGCTTCTGTCCAGAGCGGTTTGAGTCAGAGGAAGTCCAACGTGTGCCTTTTCTCTTACGATCATGCGGTCAGCGTGGCAGCAAAGATTGTCTTATGTTTTCTTCCATAGTTTTGTACCTCTAGGATTTACATCTAGATTTCTGATTCGTTTTGAGTAAGTTTTTATCTGCGATGCAGGGTAAGGACTAGCGTTTGTTCACTGGTTCATTCATCCATTTTTCCCGTGGGTCTCCACCCTTCCTTCCAGCATCGTTCGTTGCAGAAAGTCTCCTTTCTGCACAGTCTGGACTCCGCATCCTTGTGGAACATCAGCCGGCCATCTGCGTTGAGGACTGTCATGTCCTCTCGATGAACCGACCCCTTTTCTTTCGAAATGACCTTCTTCGTTCCTGGTAATAGTTGGCTCTGAAAGCTATTATCCGATGTTAATACCAACACCTTTTCTTTTTACTGGTGTTAAATGGTATATCTTTTCCACTCTTTTACCCTATTTGTGTCTTTATATTTAAAGTAGGATTCTTGTAAACAACATAAGTTAGATCTTACTTTTTTTATTCAATCTGACCATTTTTGCCTTTTAATCAGGATATTTACACGGTGCATATTTTTTATGTTTAGGTGTAAATTCACAATCATTTGTTTTCTGTTTGTTCCATTTATTCTTTATTTCTTTTTACATCCCTTTCTTCCTTTAAAATTGAATTTTTTTTATGATTTTATTTTATGAAACAGATTTTAACTGATTAAAATTTTCCAGGAAGAGTTTCATTGGTTTCGAAGCTGTTCGATAATATTCAATCGATTACTTCTCAGGATTAACTGATCAACATCAGGGAAAATGGAAATGTATCTGAATTTCGACCAAAAATATTAATGGTTGGGGAACTGAAGTGTCAATGGGATGTTTTTAGAGCAGCCAGGACTCCATTTCATTTGGATGCATATGCTTTTTGGCACATCCTTCTCAAATCGCACGAGGTGAACTTCACTGAACCGGACACAAATGTCACCATCTCACAAAGATTAGAGGAACAACGTGACAGTCAATAACATACATTTAATTACTGTGTTTTCTTTTTAAAATATATAATTGTTTAGTAAGAACAAAAAGTCTTATTTAGTAAGTAGACATTTTAAAAATATATATTTTATTTTTCTAAAATTTCTATTTTAGTTTGTGTTTTTGATCATAAAGCAGTGTACATTTATTGAGCCCACGTCTCCAAAATTCTTTTACTGACAGAGGACTTCACCATCATACGTTTCAGAGAATCCCTGGACTAGAGGACTCTGAGATCAAGAATTAAGCTAAATATTTAAAAAAGGAGACACAGAAAAAAATACCTTGACTCTTGACTCACTCGGTCCCTGTCTCATTCCCTTCAGCCTGATGCTCCCTCCCAGGGCCCTGCAGCGGGAGTCTGAGAGCAGGGCGCAGCAGATGAGTACGCAGCCGTCTCGCGGCCCGGAGGTGTCCGATGAGTCGTCTTAAACGGAGATAGAGTTTAAAGAGCTGTTTGTTTTGCATCTTCAGGACCGCGCGAGCGCCTAGGCGTCTTCAGCGTGCAGGGGGATGGGGCGCGATGGGCAGTCACTGTCGTCCCTGCATAGCGACAGTAGTGTCATAGTCCTGATCCGTTTACACCAAATTCTGACCTTTACGTGTTCGCCGCGTTCGCCTTCCAGATGTACCACAGGATCCGCCACTCCGAGTGCATCTACCGGGTGACCATGGAGAAGCTGTCCTACCATAGCATCTGCACGGCAGAGGAGTGGCAGGGCCTCATGCGCTTCAGCCTCCCGGGCCGGCTCTGCAAGGAGATTGAACTGTGAGTGCTCGCCTGGGCGCCTGGGGACGGGGACAGCGCGCCTCCGGGACGGGGACGGGGGACAGCGCTCCAAGCCCGGGGACGCTGAGGCAGTACGGGTTTCACATGTGGTTCCGTGGTGCCATTTGACCCCCGAAGTGACTCCAAATCTTACAATACAACTTGGAGTTAAAGACCAAAGTCTTTTAAAAAGATCACATAATCCTTAAAAAAAAAAAAAAAAAGCTGAGCACAATTTTGAAATGAGTTAACCTAAATGTTAGCTTTTCTCAGTCTTTTGCACAGTTCACACCAGGTGATATTTAATAATCAAAATGGCATTTAACATCAGATTTTTAAAAGTGTTCATTTCTCTATAAATTTAAATTTACCAATTAAATTTGAGAACTTAGTAGTAATTCAACTTTCACTTTGTTTTCTAATCCTTGCTAATACACGTTATTGCCGGCGGTAGAAACTGGCAAATTGTACGCCCATTGTGAGTGCAAGCCAGCACTGACTGTTTAACTGCCTAGAAAATCCTCATGAGCGACCCGGAGCCGGAGCCGACAACTGCCTTCTTATTGGGAAGATAGTGTTGTTGACTGAATTAAAGGAGAGGCCATCAGACCGAGGGGGCAGTAATGCCCTGGAGGCCTAGGAGGCAAAGCAAACCGTGAGCCTGCGGAGGCCTCCAGGTCAGGACGTCACCTCCTCCCTCGGCCTCTGCCCCTGCTCCGTGCGTCTGTCCCTGGGCCCCGTGCGGCAGCCCTTCCAGTCCCCCCAGCCACCCCCGGCCTGGCACTGCCCTGCTGGAATTCCTTTTCCCTCAAACTCTGAAAACCTTTAATATGCCTCAATTTATCTTTTAACTCTTGTGGTTTAATAAGAAATACATATATTTGGTCTTTTAGCTGGCTCCTGGCACAGAGGCCCTAACACTCTGAGTGGCAGGCGTGAGGGGTGTCTTCTGTCATTCATAATAAACATCTCAGCTACACGAGTGTTCGGTTCACATCAGTGAGCGACTCTGGGAGGACGGGGTCCCAGGGCCGGAGGACCAGCCGTGTAATTAGAGTGCTGGCCTTTTCAGCTGCACCCAGGACCTTCGGGCAGGGCAGAAGGGCTGGGGGCTGAGTCAGTCACCAGAGGCCGGTGAGTTACTGCTCCTGCCCATGTGACGAAGCCTTCAGAAAAAGCATAAACGGGGGTTCAGGGAGCTTGGGACCGCGGAACAGTCGAGGCCCCAGGAAGGCGGTGGCCCCGGCGGTGTGGGAGCTCTGTGCCCTGCCCCCCCCCTCCACCCGAGGCATCGTGCCTCCCTGATCCGTGGGCTTCCGCAGGGAGCTGTCGGACCTGAGGAGGGGTCGCGGGGCCTCTGCTTTCCCGCTGGTCATCAGAGATCTGGTGGCCTGGACTCGCCTCTGAAGTGGGCCTGCGCCAGGTCCAGGTGGCTGGGCAGTGACCTGAACTACAGAACGTCAGGACTGGAGAAGTGCTGGGTGCGGGAAACGCACGCATTGGGTGTCGGAGGGTTGTAGCTGGAGGAACATGGTTTCTGTGAATACTAACCATTCTGTGTACGAATGTGGTTAACTAAGTTAGCAAATGGAAAATAGGTAATAACTTTAGATGTTTATATTTATGAAAATTTTTTCAGGATTTAAATAGGAGATAGAATAATTTTCAACTCAAAAATTTTTTTGGTAAGGTTTTCTTTTTATCCATGTGTTGTGTTATATACGTGTAATGTTCACATTGGGAGATTTTTTGGTACGTTTTCATCGTTTTGGTAACAACCACAACAGCTGTTTTTATAGGTTGTTTTTTAAAAACTTAAGCGATGGCTTAAATATTGGACTGAGTTCTTAAGAGAATGGGTGGCATTTCCTTCTGGAAAACGTTAGCCACGACAGCGACGTGACGAGAGGGCAGAGGCAGAGCTGGCCGCGCTCCCCGTGCATTTCAGTTTCTGGAGAGACGGCGAAATCGCTGTCTTTGCTCACTGGGTTCACACTAGGTTCACACTAATGCTGTTTAGGCATAACCTGTGCTTGCTTTTCGTTTCAGGTTCCACTTTGACATTGGTCCTTTTGAGAACATGTGGCCTGGCATTTTCGTCTACATGGTCCATCGGTCCTGTGGGACATCCTGGTACGAATGAGCTAAAAACTTCCTTTTTAAACTACTAGCAACGTGACCTCTTCCTCTCCCTGCCTATATCACTTGCCACTTTCTTGCTTGATAATTATCTTAAAATAGGCCGTATATAAATTATTTTTTTAAATATTTAAATTAAAAAAGGCTAAGATTGTCGGACAAATCCATAGCCTTTTCATCTTTCCCTTAGAAGCTGCCGTGCTCTCTGGCGACACGTCTGTCCCTTGACAAACGTACACACCTCACCAGCTGATAATAAAAGTACAGCCAAAGCACCAGTGCTTAGGCTGCCCAGCTGACAGAGATGGGGTTAGTGCTCTCCACAATCACATGCCGTTTCAGAGTGCGCTTTGGAACGCGCGCGTACATTTTGTGTCAACTCTCGACGTACATAGCAGTTAGAGAAGGTGCGAAAGAAACACGTCTCCCATTCGAAGCCTGGCGAGTCACTGTCATCTACTTGCGGACTCTCGTTGCAAACCTCCCCCGCTCACGCCCGCCTGCCCTGGAGGCCGCCGGGGCTTCATAGCTGATCTGTCCTGGCCTAAATGCACAGACTCAAAATGCAAGGAAAAATTTGCTTTCTTTCCCTGTTACTCATTTAGTCATTAAGTGGCTCATAAAGGCTCTTAGTTTCTCTAGACTTAAGTTGTCACTCCTTTCCTATTGCGTTCTGGGCCTTAGATCTATTGGGTACATTTATAAATCGCTGTTTTAAGAGGATGCACATAGGACAACTAACTCCAGTTATTTCTTAGATAGCAGTTGGCCAGTTCAAATTCTTAAAGTAACGTACCTTATATTTTAAGGCCATTTGGAAATTTTTGGTAGAGAAAATACAGGTTGCATATTTTTAGAAATTATTTGTACCCTCCTCTCTGGTATGTCAAAAAGCCCTGTTTTATATTGATGCACTTTTGTTTTAAGCTGCCTTGAATTCATTGAGAGAGTTGGTAAGGACTTAAATTGAAATACATGATAATGTAAAATAACAATGTCGTGTGATGAAAATATATGCCGTTTCCTTCATGTCCCATGTCAGGATGTCATCGTTGGCCACTTACTAATTTGATTCCTATAATAATTTGGATTCGTTTGGAAAGGATACTCATTCACCTAGACAGTCCTCTTGATCCTATAATAATTTGGATTCGTTTGGAAAGGATACTCACTCACCTAGACAGTCCTCTTGATACACACACACACATACACACACACACACACACACACACACACACACACACACACACAGAAACGTGTATGTATTTGTAGTTGATGAGTCTGAATGTGCTTTTTGGAACATATTAGTTCAAAATACTGTTCAGCAGTTCGGTACTGTATTGTAGGTCGAGCTCTGTGGGATGCAGGACGTGCTTGCAGGCGGGGAGGGTGACGGGAGGTAACCATGGGAACCAGTGCGTGCTGGTCCCAGGCCTTGCTGCCTGGCGGGCCAGTCAGCCTGTCATAATAGAGGCCGGTGAAGCGTCCCCTGCCCTGACGGGCTGCGGGAGGTGCTGAGCGAGGCGCCTGGATGCGGTGGCTGTGGACGCTCACGGTCAGGTGTGCACGGCAAGGATGTGCGTGTGTCACTCAGAGCCCTCCTGGGCCGTGACGGTCCTCCACTGCTTTCCGCTGTGACGATGTCTCTCCCGCACAGCTTCGAGCTCGAAAAGCTGTGCCGCTTCATCATGTCCGTGAAGAAAAACTACAGGCGGGTCCCGTACCACAACTGGAAGCACGCGGTCACCGTGGCGCACTGCATGTTCGCCATCCTGCAGAGCAGCCGCGGGCTCTTCACCGACCTGGAGGTACCTGCTCTGGGCCCATTCGTGACACGATGTGCGACCTGTCCCAGGACAGACTTAGGTTCATAAAGCAACAGAAGCACGTGTTGGAGGTGGCGGTCCCCACGCGTTCAGCGTGTTACTGTGTGTGAGGAACATAGATACAGGAATCCCCACTCCACTAACAGTGTTTGTAGCGGTCCTTCCCCTGACGCAGACTTCTCCCGAAGGCTGTGAGCGAAGTGAGCGCTGCTCTCCCCCAGGACAGCCCCCTGCTCCGAGAAGCTGGGTGTCAGGCGCCACTGGGACGACAGCGTCTGGGGTCTCCGCGTCGGGGAGCCGGGCTCCGGAAGGTCTTGCTGGTTCATCTGCCTCTACCCAGAGTCAGTTATCTGCTGACAGCTCCCCAGACCTAGGGCTGGGAAGGTGCGGGGCATTCCCGCACCGCTGTCAAAGCCCTTCCTCCATGATGCCTGCCCAGGTCTGGGCTGCCCACAGCCAGGCACGCCCCCTCCCCGCCTGGCCCCTGATGCCTGTGAAAGCCACCTCCATCCTGTCCTCTGAACACAGTCCTGTTTTGAGGGACAGCTAACTGGAGAAGAGCCGTCCTTGCTGTCATCGTCCCCAGGTTCTCAGGGAATGTAGAGCCCGGAGGGTCTTCCAGCTCCCCTCCCCTGTAGAGTTCCTGTCCACCTCTCTCGGCAGCCCCAGCCACCTTCCTGACCCCAACTCCCAGGGGCTCCCTGCGCAGCCCTCAGCTCCCAGAGCCTGCACTCCCTCCCTCCTCACCCCTGCACATATTGTTGCGCCCCGCCCCCCATGCCCTCCTGACCCCTGTTTGGGACCTGACCTGCCTCCTGCTAACACCCTTCGACCTGCTATCAAGAATCATTTGACTCCCAAGTTCATAAGCAGAAAAGCAAGTTAGAGCGTTTAGAATTTCCGAGATTCCTAGGGAGGTTGCTGTGTTCACGGCAGAAGCCAGGGTGGCAGGGATGACCCGGCATCCGTCCCCTGTATCCCGTCGCCCGGTTCTGACCGCCATGCGCCATCTTGCTTTCTCAAGCGCAAAGGACTGCTGATCGCGTGTCTGTGCCACGACCTGGACCACCGGGGCTTCAGCAACAGCTACCTGCAGAAGTTCGACCACCCCCTGGCCGCGCTCTACTCCACGTCCACCATGGAGCAGCACCACTTCTCCCAGACCGTGTCCATCCTGCAGGTGAGGCCGGAGCTGGAGCTGCGGGACCGTGTAGGCGGGGCTTCGCGGCCCAGGTGTTCTCACAAGCAGGTGTGGGCGTGGCTTCCTGCCTGGGGAGACCGATGGCTCATTCCAGAAACCTGTGTTTGTCGTTGTCACTAGGCAATCGTGGTTTTTAGATAAAGAATATTTCATGGGGATTTTGAGTGTATTTTGCGATCCTATTTGATTTTGAGCACACAAAACCCTGAGGCCAAGTTTGTTTCATGTAGTTTGATTTCATTTATGTGGGTGACCGTAGTCTTGAACCAGAATGCGCTGAACAGTCCATCCTGAGACTTAGGCAGATTCGGGGTTTAGAACATGGCAGTGCTTTGGTTTTTCCCTCGTGTTTGGGTTTTACTGTCTTGCCTTCACAGAGCTGG